TCGTCATGGTCTATTAAAATGATACCCTGATTTAATTATTTAACTAAAAAATTATATTGCGAACCAATTATGCATATAATATTCAAATTTGAAGCTATTGAAAATTATGCAAAATTAATCCAGTAATAATATAAATTAGGAACTTAATGATACAATCTAATTATTGAAAATTATACAAAATTAATGCAATAATGTCACAAAGCTGACATTATTAAATTATAAATTGAAATTCGAATAGATAATTGTTTTATTAAAATTACACCAAATGGATATGAAATAATAATAGTTAATAATACACATTGTTAGCTCCGTCTAGCGTGTAAGAAGGAAAAGAATTTACGAGCGATATTTAGCGCGAATTACCCTTTTACGTGTACAAAGATGTTCTCATTACGGACATTAATTTCCTTATGGTCGTGGCGCGCCATAATGCCATCGGCGTTAATAAGCGCCGTGAAAAATGCATTAACTTAGCAAGCCCGGCTCTTTGCTCCGTGTTAACGTTATAAGTATCCGTTACTTTCATCGTTTCCTCTACCCTGCTCCCATAACGAACGAGATCATCTTCCGCTGCCAATTACATCGATAATCTGGTTATTATTAACTGCAAGAACGTGGCGCGGTACGTGTGTGCCAATCTCTGCTCGATAGCAAAGGATTCAATCACTCTACAATCTATGAAATTTGAGGAAAATCAAATCTTTTCTATCGTTCAGAAATTGTGAAATTTGAGAAAAATTCAATTCTATCCACGAAGCTATTTCTAATAATTTTCCTTACAATGATTATTATTTCTTTTTAATTTTTACGTTACCTTGACTATCATTAATACGATTAGATTTTATAATATAGGTTTTTAATCGAATTTCTTAATTTTTTATTTTATGACACGTAATGAAATTTCGAAAAATTGAAAAAGAGATACAAAATAAAAAAATCCGAAAATCCGACATCAAATTGGCTCTTGTATTTTTTTTCGATTGATCGCGTGTGTCGGATTCATAAACGGACAGGGTACAATGGATGCAAGGAATGTTAACTGATGGTGATATTGTTACGTCGAAACAGTTGCGCCGATACGAAATCCGCGACCACAGCAAAGCGTGTCGCGAAAAGTAAAAATATCCGTGCGACCGATTCGATATATCGATCGAAGTGATCATCGTTTTAAATGGACGCGGTGAACGGTATTCAACGCACTTTGAAACGTTTTTAGAAATCACAAACGAATCACTGGCTTTTGCTTTTTTTGTTTTTCTTCCTTTATTTGTGTGCGCGTAGGTGTGTACGCTTTCTCCTCTTCGGCTTTTGCCACCGGGTTCCCGGGGGATTTTTTGGCCCCGCACGCGACATCGATCCCGATCGACGCAGGCTTGCAGTTTTGGAAAGGGGATGAATTTAATTGTGCGAGAGCAAATCTTTTGCGGTTTCAGACTATGAAAGACAGATTGTTCTTGCGCTGAATGGAAGGTGAAATTTATTGGTTTGGAAATTAACGGGGAACAATTAAAGCAAATCAACTTTGCTCCGATTATTTCCGCACTGGATTAACAATTTAATATTACAATCTGCTTTAAATAAGCGTAGGTACTATTATTTCAATGGTATTGATTTAATCGGAACGAATACCAGAGGAAATGTTTATTATAAATTAATTCGCAATTCAATTCGTAAATGATATTTCCCAATTCAAGAAAATATATAGAGAGAAATTTGTGCTGTTGGTATCGTTTGCTGTCTCATTAAAGAAAAAAGCATTATCTTCAAGAGGATCTTCATCCCCATAGCCTAATTTTCTTTTTGATATGCAACGGAATCCGTTTATTATAATTGCTTTGAGAATTGCAATTTTTTATGAATTGCTGACAATATTAAACAGAGGATAAAAAGCAAAATAATTAAGGATACCGGAGTTAAGTAGAAGATCGTGTATACTTCGTTATATTAAGCTCGTTTTCCTTTACCGTTTACAGGAAACGCGATTATAGAAACTCTATTGTTAAGAAATTCGTGAAAAAGAAAGGGAAGGAGAAAACGAGCTGATTTATCGGGTATCGCAGTAGTACGGTTTTATTCTCGCTAGTCAGCTAGCACGCTTCTCGTTCCTCCATGTATCGAGCTGCGTGCTAGGTGAAACGTGGCTGCTGGTTGCCTATATCAGCTTTGGAAAAGAGGGTGAGGACCATGATATCGATGCTACGTGTTTAGAATCGCCCAAGTGCAAGCTCGCCGATCGCGAAGGTTTCGCGGTTTCGCATTCAACGTGTACCGATCACATGGTCGTTGCACTGGGAACATAAATGCTGAAAATAAGTACTACATTTCGTCGAACGATTGAGAACTAACGCTTGCAAGCAACTTTTTCATCAAATACTGAGCTTGAAAAAATAAAATTCACGCTTCAAGCTAATCATTTTGAAACGAAAAACGAAAAGAAATAAAATTTCAAACAACGGAGCTTAAAATTAATTTTTTTTTTTAAACAAATTCTCTTAGTTGATCTTTTCTACGTCGTTATTTGCACACGAATTCCAGGGAGGTCATCCGACTACCCCTCGAGGAGTCAGCTTAACCATGCTGCACTTAACGCAAATTCCGTTCTTACCCACCAACTTTAAACTCTGGGGTTTCCATAGACTTCCTATTACCTTCACTTGACCCCAAACCTTCGTTAATAAAGGACGTTTGCTAACCAACACCATGACCCATGGTGTGGGGGTCGTTTTCATTTTCTTAATTTGAAACTATTTCTTTAGATATTAGAGTATCTAATAAAAGTATTTCTGATTAAATGAGTGGAAGAATTTCTAATACCATGGGTGTTGAATTCTAATGAAAATTCGAGACTGGCAGCCGAGAAATGAAAGAAAATTATGCAGATAAATTCCCAAATATCAATCCTACTCGCATAACCTACTGTCATTAACACTAGACAAAATAATTTCTTTTCCAACATTTTCTTTCCCCATCGCATTATTCGAAACGCTTTCCGTTTTCCGCTCGCGATATTTCGGTCTTTCGGTCAGCAGGGAATATCTGTTCGGAATTGCTTGCAGCATCGGAACGTAGGTGTTCCTAGAGAGGAGGTAGCATGACTGTTGAGAAACCACAGTCAGGATTTCGAAGATCCGACGAAAGGTCAGCGCCGAGTTCGAGAACAATATCGCCGTTTCTCAAAACCGCTTCCGCTAGCTGGCGAAATGGATTTCCGTGCACGCTGGGAAATCAAGCCAACGATTCGCTATTGGCTCGCGTTTTTATTCTTATCCGGTCCTCTGAAAAACTGTAACGACTTCGCCGCGGAACCAGCCAAGACCCATCGAAACGTCTATAGAAATTTTCACTACTATTATTTACATCGTAAGCTACGTGTAGCAATAGATAATATTTGAAGAAATAAATAAAAAGATCCTTATTTGATATAACAATAATTAATATCCTAATACAACTAGGAGCAATAATGCTTAACTATCCGAATCAGATCGTGCCTGTCAGAAGGATATCCGTTTCCAGATACGGTTCAATCTACAGGATACGGATTGTTGATGAACAATCAAACCAATAGACGATCAATAATTCAAACTGTATTGTTAGTTTGGAGAAGTTGGTGCGTAAACTGTAATCTATAATCAATATCAACAATCTCTGAACTTGTTATCTAAGAATAACGAATCCTTAACTACACCTTGAATAATATATGAAAAGAAATTAAATCAGATTTCCACTGACTTCTCATCGGATCTCGATACAACTAGGACTGGATTAAGATTTCTGAAGCCTGAGGCTATCAAACCTCGAAAAGTCCCCTGAGATAAATGAAGGAATTTTTAGCAATTGTTTAGAACGATTTCATTGTTGTATCTCGTTGAATGATATCGAGTTAATACTAGTGAAAAGATAATAGATATACCTTTTAAAGTGGTCTCTTCTAGTTGATAGTCTTTATACCATCCCGTTTGCGGAATTCGCAAATAAACCTTGGTTCGTTCCTTAAACGTACCATTAGGATCCATTAAGAAACGCGACGAGCACTTTGGAAGGTACATCTCGTGGGAAATTGCCATTTAAATTTCTCCATGGTGAATGAGGTTGAAAATAAAAAGGATGTCAGCTTCGCTAAATTTTAAAGGACGCTGTAAGCTGAATGGTTTGATACTGAAACACTTCCGTTACACTCGATACGAATTTACAGATGAACTACACCCTTGAAAATTCTAAATTTTCCCTCTATTCATTAAAATATTAATGCATACAAATTTTTGTTCGACGTCTATTTGATATGAGAAGTGTTATCAGTTCCTCATATTAATATCATGATGTATCTGCAGTCGGAAAATGTGTATTGCATCCAAATTGCAATCTAATTGATTTCACAATTACGAAAATTATTTCGTTGGAAATACGCGTTAGCCGATGAAAGATAATACATGGAAAATGTTCTCGATAACGATCAAACAGAAATTTATTCCTACAATGAAAATATTATTTGCTATATATTTAATAATCAATTTACCTAATTATAATTAACTTTTATCGATTCGCTCCTACTATTAAGAAGTCTCACTTGATGTTTTATTAAAGATACTTATTTTTCATTTTGAAATTTTACTTTTACCCTAATGTTAATTAAGATTAATTAATTAATTTGCTATGACTAAATATTTCTTCCAGTATAAATATATTTTCGAAACAGTTTTAATTACAAAGCATGGTTTTCCACGAATCATAAACTCTCTGAAATAATATACGAGTTTCATTGCTAATGAATACTGCGGTTTGAAGCTGAAATTATTATTTAAATTGATTTTGGCAAAAGTGGAATCTAATTATTTTGAAGTTGCAATAGAAAATTAAAATTACTGCCAAATGAATTTACTGTTAGAAAACTTTCAATTTGACAATCAGTATAAAGAAAAGATAATTTTTTGAATCGAACGAAGATTGTTCATCACGTTTGCAACATAACAACGAAACTAACTGAAGCTTCCGTTCATTTGCAGATTGGTGCGCTGAAGGAATACTTCCTGTTCGCCGACAAACGACTTCACAAACGATCCCTTTCCAACAGCGAGTCGCATCACAAGACGCTAAGAGATGAGCCGCGGGTAAGTTGAATACATCTTTTGGTGTCGGACTCGCAAAGGCGTGCTCATCAAACTTTGCCAGCCTCTGGCACAGGTGCAAAATATAGAACCGACGTAATTTCACGGCGTCTGTCATCCTGCAACGCGCATTGTTTACCCCGACGTTCTAATTTTCTACTACTCCTTGCACGCTTTAATGCACGCTGCCTCCTCGCGACCACAGCCACGTGATTACACTAGCTACTGTTACAGTGGTTGATTTTGTTATGAAAAATTTTGTTACGAATTGCTAAAGAAGAATATAACAAATGCGATATATTTTGTATTATTATAAAAAATATTTGACACGTATTTTTGAAATATACCCAAAAATATTCATATCTTCTGCTTTGTATAATTTTTGTCAAATACAAAATGTAAAACATAGAAGAATCGTGCAGGAAATATCATAGCGAGAAACGAAGGATTCTAAGTTAATGAAAGACTCGGAATAGAATGAATTTTAAATTCTTACGTGACGTGGAATTATAATTCCCGCATATTTTATATGATGTTTTCATGCATATGGAATAACTTTTTCGTATGTACAGAATTCGTTATCCTGTCGTGTAATTTAGTTTCCGCGCGTTAGCTTGAAAAACACGACCCTTCGTTGCAAACAGGCACAAATTAATGGAACGTGTAAAGTAAAGTCTGCTAATCATCAAGGATACCAAACAATAAATAAATTCGGAAGGTTTACTATACGGATACCTTTTAATTATCGTTTCACACGAGGTATCGATTTCCGTGAAGCCCAATTAAGCCCATTTTGTACATCTACTAATCTACTGTAATTTATTTGAAAGATAGTTTAATTTTGTTTGACATTATCCCTGGTAATTCTTCTGATAAATTAGGCAATTGTTTAAATAGTATAAATAATATATTGTCTGGAATGGCCTAATTTGGTAGAGGTGTTTCGAAACCTACCATGCACGATAATGTACAATTACGGAACAACGACGAAATTCGATAAAGAAATATATAAAAATATTCTAAATCAAAGAATTGCCTTTCCAAGACAATAAACTATTTCCAAGATCGATACTTTTTTTATTTTAATAATAAAAAGGACACTTTGTTAGAAGATTGATTGAACCGAAGACAAGTGAAAGGTCTTTTAATTAAAGCTTTCATCGATTGTTCGATCGTTTTCGTCTCGAGCTCTTTCAACTGTAACTTGCTACGTTAGAACTACCCCATAAAAATAGCTTTAACAATGAAACTCAGCATGATCATTGAGAATGAACGTATCCAATTGGCGAGGGAGACTACGAGGAAAAAGGACACGGTAAAATATCAGCCTGTTTCCGGAGATAATATTGTGCTTGCACCATCTTTCCAGTCACGGACATTGTCTATTTCTCGCCGATAAAGCGTTTCGTCGACACCAATGAAACAGCCCTGAGAAGGTTTATTCGACAAATACCGAAGCCGTTTCAAGAACGGATACGTAACGCGTATTTACGACCAAACGATTGCTGGAATTCACATAAAATAATGAAGAAAACAGTAGTGTAACTAAGAGGGCTTAATAAATATTGGAGAATTTTCAAAAATGTTAGATAACGTTATTAAACTCGACTACTAATCAAATGTGAAAAGAATTTTTCGACCCCCTAATTGACAAGAAATTAAACAATACTTTTGCAAAATTAATTAATACCTTGTAAATTAAGGGTTGGGTATATTTAGTTATTGCTTCTGAAATTGAAATATAAACTCGAAAATTAAAATAATGACCCATCATCGCCAATATTTAATGCTAGGGGAATTTCTGATCTACGAAACATTGTTAGACCGTGATCCTGAATAATGAAAGGAGTGTATAACGTGGTCGCACACCAAAGAGGTGCATACAATCAGATTATACTGGGAGGTTATTACGTGGAATCTAATCAGATTTGCCGTCAAACAGCAAATCATTTAACGTCATTACAAGCTTGGCGTATAATAACTTTTGTCACACGGTGGGTAACCCTGACACGCACATGTCACCGCGCGCATTTTAAATTAGATACTTCGATTAATGGGATGCAATCGAACGCTTGTCGATCACCCTGACGTGTACGCAAATTTGTGGTAATTTTGCTTGATAAAGTAGGAACTTTGTTCCGCGGATGTTCCCTAATCACCAGAGTCCTGATTCTGTATGAAATAATATTTTTGGTTAATTTTGAAAAAATAATGTCATGCAACGTCACCCTTCTTTTTTCCAAAGGACAACATTTACAAAACGTAGTAATAAACTCGATGGCCATCAAGCTCTGACACGTAAATAAATAAATATTTAAATTACAGATTTGATTAGCATTGATTCGATGGAGCTCTGCTAATTGGGTTCCCCTTTTTTTCCCCCAAGTGGTGGTACACGAGCGTGACACTTATCGGCCCGGAACGCTAGTTAGCATAGGGATTTTGGAGACTGGCCAAAATTCAGGAGCCGTGAATTTCGGTGGCGAGGCTTTAACGTCGAATCGTCCGGCGATATGAATGAAACGATGACCGAGGCGTCACGCGTTTCACGCTCCGTCGAGTTAAAGCTCGACCACGAAAACGCTTCACGTTGATGGAACCGTTTACAAGGCGCCATACGGCCGGATCCGTATATTCTGCGAATTTTCGTCTGCTCGCCGCTGCACGCCTGCATATTCCATGATAAATCGTGCTGGCTGATTGCGCGTATGGGGAGGGGGTGGTTTAAAAAAAAAAAAAAAAAAAAAAATCCTGACCCGTGACCGCAAACATGTAAAATTTTTAATAATCCCACCCACCTACGGTCGCGCCCAAGCGGATACGTGAACGTGCATTATAAACAGCCTGCATTCGAGGAGGCATTATTTCCATTACAGACATTTATTTATTTTACAATTGAAAAGCTCTGTTTGGGAAAAAATGTCTGGAAAAATATTTTTCTGAAATTCTGAAATTGATTAATTGACTCACTGATTTAGAAATAATCAATGCCCAGCAGATTTTTTTCTTATCAAAATATGTACCTACTTTAGATTTCTATTCCATTATTTACCGTGTGGAAGCAATTTTGAATATGAACGAAACTGTGCCTGTAAATTAGCAACCCATCAAAGGCAAAGGAGCTACTACACTACTATCATTAGTTTCCGTTAAATGAAATGACTGAATAGCCTTTGATGTTATTTAAAATTATGCATTACCAAGGAACAGGTCAACAGCTTTGAGTACATTTCCATATTTCGGGCAATGATTATTAAACTAAATACATTTCAATTTCAATAAATTGCTCTTGGCCGGCTTCAAAGACAAAGTTATCAAACAATAATTAAGTTAGCTCGAAGTAATCAATTGTAAAACTTTTGGGGAAGGAAATATTGAATATTAAAATTGAATTTACAAAGTATAAAATTTCACGAGTAATAGCCTTTTAAGGATGATAAAACGATGTGTCAAATATTTTTCTCAAATATTCCAATAAATCAATTTCTTCAACTATTTATCCTGAAAATAAACAGGTAAAAGAAATACGCGTGTATGTTTCTTCTTTGGCAAAGTGCTTCGGAACTGTTTAGTTTCGAAATCCATGTAGGAAGATTGCTAAAGAGAAATCCGTTTGTGTTTTTCCAGGTGCGATGGTTCCAACAACAGCACGAAAAGAAACGCAAGAAGAGGGACTTTGTGCCCACCTCGTTCTCTTTCGCCGATTATCCGGCGTTTTTCGATGAATTTGGTCCACGTCCTAGGCAGACCACGTTCCATCGACAAAGGAATAGAGGCGTACCTCTTCAGAACCTGTTCACGGATCCGCTCTTTAAGGAACAGTGGTACCTGGTAAGTGGACCTCTCGATTTTGCTACCTTAGAACCGACCAAAACCAACTACGTGACGAGACTGCTACGTTCCTCGACGTAGCTGACTTTAACGACATCCGATAACAGCTATAACGTGTTCGAGATCTAGTTTCCTTTCATCTTAAGGCCGTTTCAATTTCTACTGATTTCGTCTCTACCTCGACACTTTAGATCGCTTTTAAATATTTAAATTATCGTATTAAAGAAAAAAAAAAACTTAGAATTTGATAGGGTAATTTCGGAAGAAATGGACCAATTTTCTTTAACGTTGGGGCTTTAACTTTTCTTAGGTAAAAAAGGCAATGACTATGAAATTCAACGGATGGTCCAAAAATTATGAAGGTTGTCCATCCCACCAGAAATTTACCAGCACCATATTGCAAAATAAAAAACAATCCAATCTAGCCTGCATTTATTAAAAAATATTTTGATAAATAAATCGGTACAAAAATCGCGGGTGCGATCATTCAGTTATTATATCGAGCCGGTGTAATCGAATATTTATGTTTGATTCGTAGATTTACGGGGATGAAACCACGACGTGAATAACGCATATGGATGAATCGAGTTCCATCCGTCAGTTTTGTAAAAAAAAAGAAAAAAATGACAAATATTTCATTTGAATTATATCGAAAAGTTCCATTAGCATTGTCAAATAAATTTATCCATTTGACGGGTACAGATTTATCGTTATCGCTGCGTTTTGAATATGAAAGAATTGCAGGATATTTATGTCCGTGGCCATTAGAGAAGTTAATTAATTTCACGTATATCGAGATAAACACGATATATCATTTCTGCCTAAATTATTACCGAATTAGTTCCATTCGTATCGTTACACGCCTTTGAATTTAGACGGTGGATAGTTGAATAAGGCGCGCCATACAAGGGAAATGGAACGTTTCGAAATTGTGAACCGTGAATTAACTCGCTGGGAATGAAAAAAAAAAAAAAAAATAATATGGTCGGAGAAAGAAAACGAGATGAAAACGTTTTTCAGCTGGTTTTACACTTTTACGCAACACTGGTTACGTTTTAACGATGTTCGGAGTTTTATCTGTCAATTTTTAATTGCCTCAAATTCTACATGTACAAAAGTCATGATTTCTTTGTCGTGATAAGAAAAATATTATTAAACGCTGCGTTTATTTAACACGCTAGAAGTGAAAAGTTGGAGAGAAATTCACTGGATAAAAGAGATTTATTTTTATGAGGATTATATGGGATTCGCTTTAGCTTTTTCCTATTTTATATAAATAAAAGTTGTTATTTCCTTGTTAAATCGTACGAGTTGATAGGAGAATGTTATTAAATGTTGCATTCATTCAACAGTTCGAAATAAAAGAATGGGAGTAAAAATGAAAGCGTTTCATCTCACAATTGTGTGAGATTAATTCTTTTAACGGTCCTAAATTTTATCATTATTTCCTTGTTTCTAAATTCCAAGATTTTGCTAGATTAAAACAATATTTTTAATAATAAATCAGACGTATAGGAAATGTGTATTTAATTGCTCGATTAATCGGTTGTTAATCGCCTAAATCGCTGGATAATTATTGAATCCGATATTTATGGGAACGGGGTGGTTTCTACGGAAGGGCGTGTCCGATTTCGCGGCGGAAATCCTGTTTTCGAATGAAAAACATCTGATCGTTAATACCGCCCTCGTATAGATCGTTGCCGCCGTTAATTCCAGAAATGACAAGAGCAGCGATCACCGTTAACTTGTACCGGAAACGATCGTTTTCGAGGCGACGCGTCGAGAATTATGAACGACGACGGATGAGAAAGGACGACTTTTGACCGTGTTCAAATTTCTCGTTCGTATCGACAAGAAACGAATCGTTCTTACTTTCTCACCGGAGAATAAATTAGCAGCGCCGAGAGAAGAGAATAGTGAAAAGACGAGGCAATAGTAGCCTCGGGTCAAAGCAGTACATCCACCAGCATTCGCGGATAAAATGGAGATATCAGGTCGTCCCATAACTAACGTCGAGTTGATAAAAGAAGATAATAGATAGTAGATCGTCGGTTAAAATTTTTTAAAGAAAAATTTCTCGAGCTTCTTCGAACTTATCTCGAAATCTTAACGTGATAAATACTACTACCACAAAATAAATATAATAGAGGAAGATTAATATCTAAAGAAATTTTAATAACGAAATACGTAAATTATTTTACTGAAAATGAAACATACCATTTTGTTGTCTGGTCCCAGAATGGCGGCGCTAAGGATGGCTTCGATATGAATCTTGGCCCGGCTTGGCAGAAGGGTTACACAGGCAAGGGTGTAGTCGTGTCGATCCTCGACGACGGCATACAAACGAATCATCCGGACTTGGCGTTAAATTACGATCACCAGGCCAGCACGGACATCAACGACAACGACAACGATCCGATGCCAAGGGACAACGGTGACAACAAGCATGGAACACGATGCGCTGGCGAGGTCGCAGCGGTTGCTTTCAACCAATATTGCGGTGTCGGGGTCGCCTATAATGCCAGCATAGGAGGTAAGAAATTATTACTTTTCGAATGAATTCCGATAGGGGTAAATATCTACAATTAGGGCCCAATTCTATGTGTTTTTGCCCCTCGAATCCAAAACTGTTGATAAAATTTGGGGGTCGCTTGTATTTTTTAAGGTACATAGGTTAGGTTATCAGAATAAATATAACTTACCTCATGGCAAAAACTTGACCAGTCAACAATAGTCTCCTTGAAAAGAATAACTTCAAAGTGTGAATTTAAACGAAAATTGTTAAAATTGACAAGTAAAATCAAGACAATTGCCCGTTTTATTAGATGTTTTCTGATGATGCGTCCTCCGTGCTGTGCACTCTATGAACAGGAATTAGAACTAAGTAAGGAGACTATTCTTAACTGGTCAAGTTTCTTCCGCAAGATAAGTTATATTTTTTCTGGTAACCTAACTTAACAAAGTCATTAACTTTTGAAAATAATGATTTTTATCAATATTTACCACAATATCTTAGTAAATACAAGCGAATATCCCAATACTCCAAATTTTATCAGCAGTTTTGGATTCGGGGGGTAAAAATATAATACATAAAATTTACCTCTTTTCAATTGATTTCTCGTTGGGGCCTTAATTGTAGACATTTACTCTATAAATAATTGTTTTTGGTTTCACACTCTCGCGGTTTTGAAATTAAACTTCGCACGAATGAAAGGTTCTTTTTATTATAAACGACATTTCTCTTACCTTGTGTGATGAATTATGATCCTTCGAGGTGTTTGCGTAAAGTTCGAAGAACGAAGAGGGTGGCTGGTTTTGAAGATTGTCGTGTTTGGAAAGCTTCCTTCCTTTTAGACATCGCGTTGCTATAGATTCTTATTTGTGTCACTTGGAAGCCGAGTAAGCGTCTTTGAAACACGCGGAATAACGGAATTATTTTGGAACTTTTAACACTTTTTCGACAGAAATGTATCTTAAAACACTGAATATAAACTGTTATCGATTGAGATAATATTGGCAGGTTAGAAATTAAACTATTTACTTTGGAACACTATTTAACATGCGTCGACTCGCGGAACACTCAAGAACGAATGAAACTATTGCGGCGCTTCATACGACTGCCGCCGTTTACCGTCCGAATGTTTATCCTTAGGGATTATCCCTATCGCGAACACAATAGCGACTCTGCCGGTTTCGCAGATAGCCTAAAGGCCCGGAAAAAATTTTTCTTTACATCCACGTATTGACATTCGTAAACTTAGGAATCTGCGCCTGACGAGGTCGAAAACCGCCTCAGGTTGACATCATCTTACACTAACAATAAATTACATAAATAAATCAAAATAAAACGTATTCGTATCCAGGTTCAACAAATTAAAATTTCATTCACACGTTATACTGTGGTTCTGAAAGTAATTTAATTTTTAACAGAATATCTGTGGAACGTTCAATTAATTTCATTAGACAAATATCATAATAGAATATTGCATTACCAAATTGATCCATCGTACAAATATTATAATTACACGTTAATGTATTAAATTTGGTGGCAAATTGAACATTCCGTAATTATAATGTTACTACTCATAAATAAACGATGCAAACCATTCCAGCAAGCATTTTCATATTTTTCAATTTGCTAAAATTGATTTTTTAATTATAACTTTCTGCTCAGCTCTGGAATACGTAATAACGAGTAAATCCCAGGACCGGAGAGATTAATAGTGTTCATTATTCAACGCTGCGGATTGAATTAACCAGTCATTCTTTCGTACTCTGTTATAGTTAGAGTTAATATCGTTTTAACCTCGGTTCGTTACCTTTGATTAATTAATTCAGTATTAAAATCAATAATACACGCAAAACTGTGCAAATTCTTGTTCTTAAAAAGAATAATGCGAGCTATCCTTTTTTCTCCCTTCTATAAAATCACAGGAAATATATCACAAATAAAAGAGAAATCAACACCGAACGAACCACGTGAGAATTCGTTTCAGAACCACTAACACTTCCATTAACTTCAATAAATTCTATTCTCCGCTCGATTTCATTTACTTTGTTTAATTACATCCCAACAATTTCATCGTCCAGCCTCGATGTTCATCTTTTTCTTTTTACCTCGCCATAACAATTACCGAGGTGTCACTCGTTTCATGCATCGTCCTCTTTCCTCGTCTCTGCCGATTACAAGTCTCTTTACGTCGTGGGAATATCGAGTTCCGATAATATTGTCGGCTGGTTTCCATTAAAATGCATGACAACAATCCCTGTTCGATTTAACGCGTTCGGAATAGCGTCATACCTCGGCATCGAAGCGACGCGTTTTCTACGATAAAATTCATTGGCTCGACTGCGATCAACGGTGAAAAACAGATGACAATGGGTGCGGGAGAAATTTTAATGAAAATAGGGTGGATCGCGGCAACGAGACGGGGATAGGCGGCATTAGCAAGGGGGGGGTTGCTAGAAAATTTTCGGGGAAAATCTTGCGGTTCCCACGAGGGGTAACGAGAAGGAAAGCTATCTGACACACATACCATCCGTGTTCTCAGGCGTGCGAATGCTCGATGGCCCGGTAAACGATGCTGTCGAAGCTAGAGCACTCGGATTGAATCCTGATCACATCGATATATACAGTGCATCCTGGGGCCCCGAGGACGATGGGAAAACCGTCGATGGTCCTGGCCCTCTTGCCAGGAGGGCGTTTATTTATGGCGTAACCAGCGTAAGTTATACACCTTTGCTTTCTTTTATTGCTTCAACCAAGAGGCGTGCATCAAGGCAATCTGCAGGTGTCACGGGATACAATGGATCTCAAGCAAATCGGCTTGGGATCAATTTAAATCCATACTTGGTGAATGTGTTAAAATCAATAGGTATGGTATTTTCATTTGTTTATATCTTATAACGTATCGCATCAACCCTTTGCGCTCCAAGCTTTTCTCTCACGAGTTTATGCAGAAAACATAGACGACTTTCACGTCCATCGTTGATTCCTTTATAACGCGTTACACTGTCCGGCAAACTTTCATTAGGATCAAGTCGTTCTTAATCAGCAAGGTTTAACTTGCCCCTAAAATTGAAGCGCAAACACCGTCAAGTGTGCCGGGTAGCGCTTTAACGAGGACCACTTGAAAGCACTAACGATTTCCAAACGTACAGGGTCGCAAAGGCAAAGGATCGATCTTCGTGTGGGCATCGGGCAACGGTGGCCGTCACACGGACTCTTGCAACTGCGACGGCTATACAAACAGTATTTTCACCTTGTCCATATCGAGCGCGACCCAGGGCGGTTACAAGCCCTGGTATCTCGAGGAATGTAGCTCGACGTTAGCCTCCACTTACTCGTCCGGCACGCCCGGCAACGACAAGAGCGTCGCGACGGTGGATATGGACGCGAAACTAAGGCCAGATCATATTTGCACGGTCGAACACACGGGAACATCGGCATCGGCACCGTTGGCAGCCGGTATTGCCGCCCTCGCCCTCGAAGCTAATCCGAGCCTCACGTGGAGAGACATGCAGTACCTGGTGGTGCTTACATCCAGGTCGATACCACTCGAGAAGGAACCTGGCTGGATACTGAACGGTGTAAAGAGAAAGGTCTCCCACAAATTCGGTTATGGCCTCATGGATGCCGGCGCTATGGTTAGCCTGGCCGAACAATGGACCAACGTGCCGCCTCAACATATCTGCAAGTCCGATGAGATCAACGAGGAGAGACGTATCGACCCGACCTACGGTTACACGCTAAGCGTCTCCATGGACGTTAGCGGCTGTGCTGGCTCCTTGAACGAGGTTCGCTTCCTCGAGCACGTGCAGTGTAAGGTAAGAGGGTGTTCATTCTAATGAAGTGGTTAACAGACTGACTGGCACACCCTGCAAAATAGAATTTTCATTATTATAAGATTAGAAGGATCAAATATTTAGCAGTATTATTGATCAGAGCTGTAGAGTATCTGTTTATCTCGATAATAAATATTTTTTAATCAAATTAGTTTGAGTGTTGGAAAGGTTTTCTGGGTATTTTCTTTGTCGACGAGATAGACGATTGAAACGTCGAACATTTTTCAAACAGGTTTCATTAAGGTTCTTCCCTCGAGGAAATCTGCGATTGCTGTTGACATCTCCGATGGGTACCACGTCGACTTTACTGTTCGAAAGGCCACGGGACGTTCTTAGCTCGAGTTTCGACGACTGGCCTTTTCTCAGCGTCCACTTCTGGGGTGAAAAGGCGGATGGTCGGTGGACTCTGCAGATCATTAACGCCGGTAACCGGCACGTCAATTCCCCAGGTAAGTAGTTTTAATATCTTTTCTCACTTGTCCAAGCAGATTTGACAAGAGAAATACTACTTAACACTTTGTTAAATAATTAATGGTTATCCAATTGTGACCTAAGTTAATAAGATTAATTTTGCTAATTTGTTATAAATGTAAAATTGTTTCTCTGTAAGTAATTAATAATTAACTAATTGAAACTGAATTTTGTACGCTGACTAATTAAGTCCTTGTACTGAAAATGGTTATTAACAAATTAACATTGATTGCCATTATATATATATATGAATTATTATACAAATAACACTTTGTCGATGAATGGGGTTATAGGATTTTACCGGGATATTGAATTATTAATCCTACATTATTAACCCTGTCTATTTTGTACAGTTCTAATGGTCTTCCGTGCCTCCATTTTGGACATTTTTATTTAATTTGATATTTATTTTTTCAGATATCTGATTATTTGAAAATCCAGAAACCGAAGCTGCCAGAAAAACCAATAGTGATTAAAGAAGTTTATACTTGGTCTGACTTGTCGTTTACCTTAATCACTGCGGAGCAGTGCAGAAAAGATTTATTTGCTTCACTTTAGAATTCAGTTCCCGTCCTGCGCTCTTTAATAACAATTTAAACTTCCAGCTGTAGTTTTATTACACTTTCAAGTTTATAAAAATCCTAATATTATATTAATTTATTCTCTATAATAATAATCTAGCCAACTTATAATCTATGGTAATCAACAGTACTGATTCGACCTTGTATTTTTTTTTTCACACTCCAAATATTTATATCCCACCCCCACCTCCACCCTCGAAAAGAAAGGAAAATGCTATAACTGACCAATTCGATTGACAAAGTGTTTCAAAAATAAAAGACAGAATCTGAAAAAATCTGAAATTATTTCTATCATTTGTTGTTCCAGGAATCTTAAAGAAGTGGCAGCTGATATTTTACGGAACTGCAGCCAACCCGATCCGGATACGGACACGTCAATTTAACCCGGTACAAGCCCATTCTTCGTACGCCTCCGTGCATTATCCATATCCTGTAGACGATGATCCATCGGGCCATCGCGGCGACGTCGACTTCTTTCCTTCGTCTACCTTTCAGGGCTACCAGGGCCCGTACGTTGGTTCCGCCTCCAACATCCAAGCATCGGTGGCCACGTTGGATGGTTCATCGGCGCCTATCCTGACCAATCGTCTACCTGGGGACACGTCCTCGTCTTACGACTCGCCCTCGTCCTTGTCCCAAGTCGGGGACGAGTCATTGGACACCACTAGAAAGATCCTTCACGACTGTGATCCTCAATGCGATTCTCAGGGCTGCTATGGGAAAGGACCCACCCAGTGTGTTGCGTGTAAAAATTATCGTCTCGACAAGTAAGTGATCGTTTTAGAAATTCTGGCTGTGGAAAGTAGCTTGGGAAAGGGAGCATGGAACAGAGGTAATCCTACACGGGATGTCCTGGCACGATCAATTTTTGTATCAAATATTTTTGTACCAAATGGGAGACCCTCCTGCATATTAATTTCGAAAGCTACTATTTTTTGGTAATTAATTTTTTTTTTTTTTTTTTAAATAAAAGTACGTAGTATTTTGTTTTAAAAAATTGCTACGAAAGCCTTGAAATTTGTCTCTTGCACCATTTATTTCGTTCCACGGTTTATTGCACCCTCTGCACATCCATCGTGTCTCGCAAACGTTTGGAACAAACTGTTATTCGTAGTGATACTTTTTATGTAAAAGTACGACATTGAATTTCGAATTTTCTCGATACAAATGGTAAAAACAAGTTCGCTACTCTTTCTCGTGAAATCGAAATCGAATGAAAGGATTAATTTCTACGATGGTTAATACTCAGCGTTATTAGAGACAATAATTGCTGAATGTTATAAAAATTTTTTTAATCAGGTAGAACGAGTACTAACTCGTTCAATTTTCTACGCTATCGGGGGATGGAAGTTTAAAATAAAAATGTTCGTTCAGCAAGATTAAAGTAACTTTGTATTCGCATCGTAATTACGTTGTGCTCTGTAACGTAGATTCATTGTGCATTCATGAAAAATGAAACTTCTTCTGGTGCAGAAAGTGCAGCTATTCTTTCTAACTTTTTCACTAACAGAATCGATCGCTCTATAATTACTAACATAACTTTTAATAACTGCACTATATAAATTTCAATTTTAAGCAGCTCTATGTTTTGCAAAAAGCTTCCTTACTAAAATAGAACACCGTCTAATCGATAATAGAAAATTTATGTCTCACCTTACACACGATGTACGCAGTCAACGAACCGTAAGGGTGCAATTAACGAACTGCTAAACGAAAATTCATTAATCGATCAAATAAAATCGCGAAGGAACGTTTGCTTGGAAAATAAAAAATTGCAGCACATGCGTGAGTCGATGCCCACCGAGGAGTTTTCCAAACCAGGGTGGCGTTTGTTGGCCTTGTCACGAGTCCTGCGAAATTTGTGCCGGGGCTGGTCAGGATTCTTGCCTTTCCTGTGCACCTGCTCATCTTCGGGTCACCGACTTGGCTGTTTGCCTGCAACAATGCCCTGAAGGATATTACGAGAGTGAGTACCATCGCTTTCGTTAACGATTCGAAAATACTTCATTTGTTTGAAACGAAAATATTTGGACGTTTTCAGATACCGAGAACGGTACCTGTGTACCTTGCGAGGCGAACTGTGCCAGTTGCCAGGATAGGCCGGATAAATGTACCAGTTGCGAGCATCACCTGGTTATGTACGAAAACAAGTGTTACGCGGCGTGTCCTCTGTATACCTACGAGACTCAAGATTACAACTGTGCACCGTGTCATTCTACCTGCGAAACTTGCAACGGCACCGCTGAAAATCACTGCATCTCGTGTCGACCGAGCTTGTTTTCTCTGAACGGTATGTACATACACTCATCTACGCGATAATCCTTAAAAATGATATACTGTTGTAACTGATAGCCTAGAAATCCTTTATTTAGATGCTAAAGTGTTCAGATCTTAAATTTTATTTATTAAGATAAGGAAGTGATATATTGCAACACGAATAAACCAGTTGGAGGATGACCAGGGGGTGGGAATAAAATTCCTGAAGAAAAATAAATTTCTTTTTTTATAAATTGCAGGCACCTGTCGAGCGTCTTGTCCAGCTGGCTACAGTGCAGACAAGAAGCGTCGAGAATGCGTGCCATGCCCCCCAGGATGTGCCACGTGTGCCACGGCAACCTGCACGAGCTGCATCGACGGATGGACCTTGAACAAAGAGGATCTGTGTGCTCCAGAACACTACGATCGATGCGATACCTCTGAATATTTCGACAACGGACACTGTACGACGTGCCATACCTCGTGCAAGACATGCGCCGGACCTGCGGAGACCGACTGCATATCCTGTCAAAATTCGTTGCTTCTTCAAGGAAAGCGATGCGTCTACCAGTGCGACGATGGCTACTACTCCATGGCACAGCCTTCGAGGCCAATCTGCGTACCTTGTTTACATACCTGCAAAACATGCGTGTCCCGGTTGAACTGCACCGCCTGCCAGGATGGCCTGCAACTGCAAAGTGGAGAATGCAGGTCTTCTTGCGCTCAAGGGTGAGCTTCCAAACACTTATCAGTTTTTTTGTCTGCAGAAGTTGTTGCAGAGTTGGGAAGAGATTATATACACAGCCTTCCGTAATTTATGCGCCGAGTTAGCTGTGGTGGTTTTCCCAAAGGATAGAGTGTCAGAAGTGATAACTATCCTATGCGGTCCAGAGGACTACTGTAGTCAATTTGTTGGCTTTTATGCAGAAATTCATAAGGGGATTGTAATTATTGAACAAAGTTACATGTGTAATGAATAACATGAACTTCTAGCTTCTATCTCACCCACAGGTCATTGCCATCCCTATGAATAAATTTTGTTTAAAGCATAATTTTAACTCTCAGTCAGAGGAGCCAAGTTTTTTAATCCGAATTTATGAATAAAAAGGAAAATGTTTTTCCATGTAGGTATTACAGCGATAGGGGTCAATGTGCCAAATGTTACTTATCCTGCAAGACGTGTTCAGGACCAAGAAGGGATCAGTGCGTAACTTGTCCTCGAGGTTGGCAACTAGCAGCAGGAGAGTGTCATCCGGAGTGTCCCGAAGGGTTCTTCAAATCCAACTTCGGTTGTCAGAAGTGTCATCACTATTGTCGCACGTGCAAAGGTGAGACGAGAGCTGTGTCAAGGATTTTTCATGGATAACAACATTCATCTAATGCGTTACAGGGGAAGGGCCATTAGAATGTACCTCTTGTCCTCCTCATTCGATGCTGGAGGGTGGTTTGTGCATGGAGTGCCTTGGGGCACAGTACTACGATCCTCTGACGCAACTTTGCAAGAACTGTCACACCGAATGCCGAAGATGTACGGGTCCTGGTAAATTCAGTTGCGCGGCATGCTCGCCGCCATTACACTTGGACAAACTGAATAATCAGTGCGTACCCTGTTGCACCGGTAACGAGAAAGGAGCTCAGGCTGAAGAATGTTGCCTCTGTGACCCAGAAACTGGTAACACCATTCACTAACCTAGAGATAAATATGTAGATTATAGTTGCGTCAGTTCGTGACTGGAAATTAATTATACTTTGGATACTTTAATTTTCTTTTAATTCATAAAAATGTTAATTATTTTGAAAATTAGTAAAATGAATAAAAACTGCTAATAATTCTAATTTCCTTGTTCGTTTTGTTGCAATTTTAGGTGGCTGCAGGAACAGCTCACCGGCAGGTAAAAGGAGAGTACCAGGCACAGAATTCACCTCGGCTGACACGGCTATGTCTGAAATGTATGCAAATTATGAAGGGACAGCGAATAAAAATGATTCAACTACACTGGCGATAACAGCAACTACAACCATAGCTGTTGCTATTTGTCTAGTGTCAGTGGCTTTGTTTGCCACCATATTCATTGCACTTCAGGTGTGTATAAATTTTACCGTTCGAGAAATGTTTTCTTCATCTTCCACGTCCAGTCGATTCGTCCCTGTCCAATCGGTTTGTCCCCGTCCAATCGGTCCATCCACTTCCAGTCACCCGTTCCTCATCCATTCCTACTTTCTCCAGGGAGAAATTATCTTCGTACCCGACGCAACGCACCTCGAGCCAAATAAAAATCCTCGTACCCTTGTTTCCAGGCTATGTCGAGCAGAAGAGAAACGAACAAGGGTTACACGCAGTTGGCCATGAGGGTGGAACCACCGGACGACGTGGACGTTGACGACACAACGGAGCTGATGACCTAGATACCCTTGCCAAGCAACGACAGAAACCTCTCGTCGAAGAGTTTAATGAAAGTCGTTCAATTTCGACATCACGATGAAATTTATCGGTGTGTTCGTGCGGCGTTAGGAAAAAAACGTGGTGGTCGGAATCGATAACCGCCGCGGTTCCAGTTAAAAGAACAAAGTGGTCCCAGACGAAGAGGAAGAAAAGTAAAGAAAAACGAAGAAAAGACACAAAAAAAAGTAAAAATAGAAAGAACAAAATATTAAATATTCGTTGAAAGGAGAAGGAATGACGAGGGAACAGTGGTGAAGAGATAAAGAATGGGGACAAAGGAACAAGAGGAATTCGTTCAAAACGTGATAGTAAAGACACCATTTTTTTTTTTTTCTTTTTTTAAAGCGCACTGTACGGAGAAAGTGTGACTGTTGTTCACTTATATAATTGACAGTGCGATCGCGTGCTCGTTGTCGTGAGTGTGACGGTGAACGAGGTGTTTAGGTATGTATATTATCATTTTTTTTTTTTTTTTTTTTTTTTTTTTTTTCGAACGGTCAGGCGCGTCGAGAGCACATGAGACCAGTGTGTAAATGTCGAAATAACTTTTAAACGGAAGTACGATTCACGTGTGAACACGAAAAGGGTGACGGACATTATAAAGTGCCTGGTTTACAACGCCCTTCGCAACACCGATTCGTCTACCCTTTTTTATTGCCTTCTATCCTGAACGCTGTCTAACAAAACGTAATTGATTATGAATTTGAAAAATTGACGGGAAGGAAGTATACGCGAGCGAGTCGAATATTATTAAAAAGAAAGGAAAGGAATTTTATTTTTGAGACGTTTCTAAGGAGCATTAGAATTCGCTTGCTCAATAACGAAGGGTACTGCGCATTCATTTAAATTATGGACCAGTTAAACGTAATCAGAGATGTACATATTTTAAAATATTACAAAAATGTTTATCGTCAAGGATAGCAGGTTAAGGAAAAAAGGGGAGGCAAAGGAAGTCAATAGACGAATGAAAAAATAAGGAAACAATAGCAATGTAAAAAAAAAAAAAAAAAGAAGGAAGAAGGAGATTTGTTAAATGATTTCTGGACGATCCGGCGTGTGTATCAGTCATTCCGTCGTTAACGAACAGCCAAACGCATTTCTTTTGTAACTGTTTCTTGTTATTGCTACATCGTCTATGTATTTCGTTTTGTTTATATGGACACCTTGTACGTTTTTATTTCTGCGAGTTATTTCCGCTTCGTTTTATTCGTTTTATCGTGCAAAGAGAACGACCACATTGTGGGTGTATCGCACCGAGAAACTTTATTTCTTCTTTTCCCCTTTGAGGATACAAAACAGAAAGAGAAATGTAATAATAATAATAATAATAATAATAATAGTGGGAAGAACACACGAAACAGTCCTCGGTAAATCGGTAACTTTAATAGCTACTGTCCGCGCCTACCGTGTGAATATTGAATTTCTCCTCGTGATTTGATATAAAGCTATTATTGTACTTTTATGATGAACGCGATTATAAATATATACATATACATATTAATATACATATATATATATCTATATACACACATACTCAGGCGTTTAAATATATTCTGAGTTTCGTGTTCCCAATGAAATATTCTTGGATCCTCTTTTACCTGCTATCTTCCTTATCAAATTCTTTATTTACATTTACCCCTCGTATCTTGAATGATTTTTAAGGTAAGTATATTTATTTCTATTGTTTGTAATTATAAGAGGGTAGAAGAGTAACTGAAATACCAAAGGCGAAGGTAAAGAAGAGAGTTTCGTTGGTAATGGAAAGCCATTACTTAATGAAACGTTAAGAATGAACGTTGGGGGTGGAATGCACAGGTGCATTTCGAGGATATTTGGTGCTCAACGATATGAGCATTGTTTCAATGTTGTTTCTAGTCTTACAATTGTTTCCTTTATTTTTATTCGATCAGTACTCGTGCATTCTTTTATTTGGGTTTCGAAGATTTATTATTTTCTTTTATTTTCTTAATTCAAGGGTCATTACCCTCGTTAGTATGAAATTAAAATTATTCTTTTTACAATTTTTAGTTAACTCGATGTATAATCGAACGAGATGACAAATTTTCCTCGAGTAATTCTTTGAAAAATTCCAATAACTTCCGATGCAGTTTCATATGACTTTGTCCATCCAATTAATTTTCACGCTTTTACGAAACCCTGTAAATTGTTCAATGGTTCATCGTGCGTTGACAAAATTGGAATACGAGAAGCCTGATGATTTATTGAATCTACCTATAGAGACGACGGTTCTTTGCGTTTTCCAATGCACGAAGAAGCTGGTGAAACGAGTGAAAAATCGAGGATTATACCGTGAGCAAAGCTGTGATTTATCGAGCAGTACATCGTCATGATTCAACGTCTGCTAGGTTTTGCCAACGTTTCGTCTACACGTCCAAAATTTCTGCGAGTATTAATCATGAAAATGTTCGAACGAGTGACAAACCGTCAAATTCGATCCCCGAAATTGTATACCACCTCTGCGATATTAATTTTGACCTATATGGGACAATGAATTTTTCCAACGTTGAAATATAGGCGAAAGCATAGAAACATATAGACCGAACAGAGTATCTTACCCTCGAATTTTATAGAGGGTGTTCCATGAAAAATACTAAATCCGGGTGATCAATGAAAAATTGTTAAAGAGAATAAAGAGGTTCTCAGGATTAACTGTTTCTAAAATAACATGAAATTATTTCTTTTTATCGATTAAAAAATGGGTTAAAAGTGGCCCAGTATCGGCTGACAAAGGTTGAATATCATTGACACTTTATGTCCATCAAGAGACAATGGGAAACAAAACGGACGTGAAGGATCTATTTCAAAAGTTGCAAACGAGAATGCGTATAGAGGAGATCCTGATATACGTTTCGTCGATACACCGATCGTGATAACACGTTAACCGATAAATTCGGTAACGATAATTCGCGTGCCTCTACTTTTATCAGGCTGGCTGTCGTATCGTAAGCGGATATCGTAAATTCGTGAAGGCAAATCCCGTTTACGTACGTGCCACGGTTTTATCGTACTATCGCTTTAATTATACTAGTTGCGATAATTCCGCGTCCATCTTCCTTCATTTTACAAGGATCAGGATAGTAAAAAGAAAAATCAGATGAATGCGAAAAAAAAAGGTTCATTTGGATAAAATATGATTTATACTATGTACACTCACGATCAAATCAGGCTTCCCCATAGGCACCTCCAGGGAAAAAGACAATGACATTAAAATTTGTTATTGTTCACAAAAATTTGGTATGCAATCAACAAATTATATAAGCAATGTGTAAATCCTGTGCAATACGTAAACACGTTTATTTACATTTTGATGATTTTTGTTATTTATCCGGATGGTTAACATATACGTTTTTCAAAATTTATTTTCCCACATATTTTTGACTGCGATATATTGTTTGTTCAAGTATCTTCCGTATCCGCTTCCAACATTGTTTTTCATTTAACCGTTCGAACTGTGAAATCTGTCCGGAAAAACAGACACTGCTTGTTAATTTAGAGTATCCAATCAATAATGAAACAATGCATACGAATGAAGCTGGGATTTCTTTTTGTGCACACACGGGATCATTCAAATAGTACGAATACCATGAAAAATTTAAACTAGAAAAAAAGTCAATGTTTTAGCACGAAACATAGGAATATCCTTAATATTGGATTTCAATGAACACTGTATGAGAGTTAAATAAAGTAACTGCAAAAAATCAGAGTGTAGTTGGATTTGTTTGATTAACAATAATTGATTAAAAATTGGATATTGATTTCCGGTATGTTACGTTTAAAACTCAGCTAATTAAATTAATTTCCCATCGTCGAGGTAAAAAATTCTTTTAGATGCACTGTACAATTATACGCAAGGGTATTACTCGTTAGAGGAATTCAGTTACCTATTTTTTATTTATTTTATGGTGAATAAATTTTTCTGTCTGATTACGCGTACGTTTCCGAATAATTTTGAACGTGAAATTTGTATTCGTTGTTATTGCACCTCATAAAATTGAAATTACACATCAATCTCTTTTGCAATTTACTTTTTTACGGTTTCATGTTGAGATTCTGTTTCATGAAGGTTTTTTAGGAGTACTAAAGATGATATATTTTTAATTTAAACAGTGAATGATAATTAACATTAATTGAAAGAATTTCTTTATAAAGTTATATAAAAACTTTTATTTATTACGAGACCGAAGAACTATCAAAATAAACGTTTGACAAACTTGTATTTTTAAAAAACCGCCATAAATTATTTTTTAAATTCGATCGTAGTGCCATCTTTACAGAAACGGTGGAAACTATAGGACAGGGGGTCCTAAACACCCCGGATGGCGCCAGATCAGTATGTAGAGCGCCACCGATGCAATCAGGGTCCCTGATACCCCGGATGATATGTCGGTATGCAGAGAGAGTTTATTATCACCGGTGCTGATAATAAAACTAATGAATAACAACATGTAAATCATTCTATAAGCCCTAATAGGTCGAAAAAACCGAATGCATATTATGGAACAAAGGAATTTGCCAAAAAATGGAATAATCTATTTTGGTGGTTCCTAAGTTCACCAGTAAATGGCGCAACGAGTACCATTTTCGTCATGGGGGAAGGTTTTTATTGTAAAAAACATGTTAAAATTATTTTATGTCATAAAATCATGCGAAAAGATTTTGTAAGGATCCAGGCAGTAATTAATTAATTATAAATAATTATAGGGTCGATGGTTCGAACTTACAAGAACGATCATTCTAAAAATTAATGATAATTAATTAATTACTTACAGGATGCGTAAAAAAACCTATGCAGAAGAATGCTATTGATGACTTCATGTTAAAATTATTAAAATGAAAAAAAAGATTGCTGTCATATGAAAGTTCAATCGAGACAATTCTCATGGGAGAAATCGGCAGTTTCATCATCTAAACTCGTCAGAAATCCAGCAGCGAAATGATTTCTATTGAACGATCGGTTTTTCCAACAGGGATGAATGGAAAGAAAATCCCAAGAAGCTCATTTCGTCCTTCCTTGACATAATAGAGATCTTCTAGGCCAGCGTGTCCCATGGGTTTGGTACCAATTCCGTTTAACAAAGCCCTGGGAATGGACTTGGCTAGCTTAACGACACCTTCGTAACATAGTACTTCTGAGCACGTTCTTTCCTGAGCATTTCTTTCACCTTAAGCTGAAAATATCCCATGGGAATGTCCACTTTTGAAACTCTATATACCTAACTTCTAAAGTGTAATTTCTTAAGTGAATAATTATCGATTCACACACTAAGCTACAAAGTTAATACAAACTAAGGCGAGCTAATTATAGGGAAATTTTAATTAAGGTGACCTCCTCTAGTTGGGACACCTTATATATAATTAAGATTATCACCAATGTTAATTATAAGTAAACCCATCACTAATGTACATAATAACGATGTAGCTAATGACTACAAGCTAACAGAATTAATTAATTAATTAATTAGAAAGCAGTTTATAGAAGATTTTGAAAATGAATTTCGCTATTTTGTAAATATTTTATTATTTTATTTCAAACAATGTTATTGAAATTAATCAAAATCCAATTTTAACACTTTGTACAAGAAAGTTACGTAAGTTAACAAATGAAGTTTGAAAGAATTTTCTTGACACTGATAAAATTATCGCACTGAAAGAGAGATTAATTTAATAATTGTATCAGGTCGTTAGCTCAGCACTTCTGTCTAGAAGACTGATGTGCAGAAAGTGGGGAAACTGGAACAGATGAGGATTAAACGTGACGCAGAAGGTGCGAAGGAAAAGTACGGGTAATTAGCGACAGACTAATTATGGCTGTTTGCTGAGTTCGACACGTGAATTGAGAAGCGAGTATACTGATCTATTTGAAGGATTTAAAAGCTGAGCGTATGTTTGAATAGAGAGCATTATAAAAGGATAAAAGAGGATTAAAGAGGAAAATTACTTTAAAAGACCTTTCATGTTTCAGGCTCTCAGTTTGCTATCTCACATTATTAACATAATAGTAGTATTTTTCCATTATTATTCTCTTTTTATTATTTAAATTTATCTAATTTACACTGCTAATCACTGATGACTTCTATGACTTTGGAGGAGAGCAAAGTTGGGCCACTTTCACCCTAATTTTATAAAATGTATAATAAAAAATACACCGTATCGCTTTAAGAAGCATCAACGTCGAAAATTGATACCAGGTATCTGAAACGTCGATACCATCCAATACTTCCCATCAATATCTATTAGTATCGTTCCGATCGCTAATTACAGGTACGAGGTAGTTCGAAGGAAGCACTTACTTCCGGCTATGAAATCTTCAAGGTATAGACGGTAGCAGGGGCTATCGAGGTTAGGCTGGTCAGAAAATGGCCGGAAGGGGAACTTCGTTATGTATAAGATAATGGTTACGCTTTTGGTCTTAGAAGGGCACGGTTCTTCAGCGACACCCAAGGGACAGATATATTATTACTGAAGGGTGGGAACTTTAGG